GAAAAATAGATATATGTGTTCTCACAGAAACCAAGAAAAAGGGAAAAGGAAATGAAGAGATAGGAGAATATATACATATCTACAGCGGAGTGAGTAAAGATAACAGAGCTAAGAGGGGAGTCTCTATTGCCATTCGAAAAAATCTTAAAAACAACATTAAATCGTGGACTGAAGTAAATGAACAACTACTAATACTGGAAATGAAAAAGAATGGGCACAATATCGTAATTGTCGGAGTATATGCCCCAAACGAAGATGCAAATCCAGAAAGTAAAGACGATTTCTACGACAATATGAATGAAATACTCTCTGAAGTTAAAGAAAACTGTGAAATCTTTATACTAGGAGATTTAAACGGCAGAGTAGGGACAGAAGAAAATAGCAGAGTCGTAGGAAGATATGGAGAACAAATAACCAATGACAACGGAATGCGTCTTAGAGATATTTGTGAAATAATGTCTCTCAAAATTATGAATGGATTTTTTCAACATAGAGACATCCACAAATTTACATGGATACAACCTACTAGGAATCTGCGCTCGATAATCGACTTTGTAATCCAACGTCAAACTTCCCAGCTGAAAACAACTGACGTAAGGGTATACCGTGGATCAGAATGTGGATCCGACCATCATTTACTTATGGCCAATGTGATAGTTAACTATCGCAAAAACAATAACACTCAGGTACAGAATATAGAAAAGGGACAAAAAGTAACATCTCCTAAATATAACCTAGAAAGCTTAAAAGAAGATTCAACAAAATTTCTTTACAAATTACGACTGGCCACAAAATTATACCAACAACTTAAAAAGTACATTCATGAAGCTGCAAGTGAAGCTTTGGGGTATAAAGACAAACATGAAACAAAAAATCAAGAATGGTGGTCGGAGAATATGCAAACGTTAGTAAACAAGAAGAAAACTGCTTATCAGAAATGGATGTCAACGAGAAAGGAGGAAGATCACAAGGTATATACGAAATTAAATCTAGATGTAAAAAGAGAAGTAGTGAAAAGTAAAAATGAGATGTGGGATCGAAGATGTGCAGAGGTGGATAGGTATATGGGTGGAACAAGAGTTGGGCAAGCGTGGAAGGTGATAAAGTCTCTCCGGAGGGAAGGAAAGGAAAAATCTAACTTAAAATTAATAGATCTGAAACAGTGGAAACAGCATTATGAGGTCTTATTGACAGAGGATAGACGTAAATTCCAAGATATCGAAATGGAAGAAATATCTGAACATACACAAATAATTGAGATAACAACCGGAGAGTTAAGCGATGCCCTCAAAAGATCGAAAAACGGTAAAGCAGCAGGACCTGGAGACATCCCAATTGAGTTGGTAAAGTATGGACCAAAAATATTACACGAGATGATGGTTAAACTATTTAATAAATTCTTAAAAGGACAAAATATCCCTGATGATTGGAATGTTGGATACATCAGCTCAATATACAAAAAAGGGGATAAACGCAATTGCTCTAATTATAGAGGAATAACTGTTACTAGCTCAGTTGGGAGGTTGTACGGTCGAATAATAAAAAAACGAATTGAATCAGAATATGAAGACATAGAGGAACAAAATGGATTTCGGGCAGGAAGATCGTGCATTGATAATATATTCGTTCTGCAGCAGGTAATCGAAAAACGGAAGGCAAGGAATCTATCTACCCACCTATTGTTTGTAGATTTAGAGAAGGCATATGATACGGTACCTTTGAAAAAACTATTTTATACATTGACGAAAGTAGGTCTCAGTAGAGAGTATGTGGATGCTATCGCAAATATATACAAAAATGCAAGAAGTGTCGTTAAAGAAGGAAACTTTATATCTGAATCATTTCCAATAACCAAGGGGCTTAAACAAGGATGTTGTCTGTCTCCGACCCTGTTTAAAATATATATTCAATCATCGCTAGAGCAGTGGAGAAAACAAGTATCCGGAATGGGAATAGACATAGGCGGTGGTGAATGTCTAACAGCTTTATTTTTCGCAGATGATCAGGTAGTCGTAGCGAATGACGAGGAAGACATGGACTACATGTTTAGAAAACTAAAGAAAGAATATGAAAAATGGGGCCTCAATATGAATATGGCAAAGACAGAGTATCTTAAAACAGGAGATGGTGAAGAAGATCCAGAGTTAGAAATTAGAAACACAAAAACATGCAATGAATATAAATATCTCGGATCTATAATATCTAAAGAAGGCACTACCAAAAGAGACATCGAAAACAGAACACAGCAGGGAAAAAAAGTGGTAAACATTCTAAACTCTCTACTTTGGTCTAAAGATATTAGACAAGAAACGAAATTGACAATCTATCGAACCTTGGTAGAGCCTATTATGACTTATGGGGCAGAGGTTTGGCAGATAACGCAGAAGGATAGAAAAAGAATAGAAGTAGTAGAAATGGATTTTCTAAGGAGAGCGTGTGGTATATCCAAAAAAGATCACATCAGGAATGAAGATATTAGAAGGAGGACAAATACTGTATATTCCAGTGTAGATAGAATTGAAACGAGACAACTAGTGTGGTATGGTCACGTGAAACGAATGAATGAAGATAGATGGCCAAAGAAAGCTTTAAATTACATACCACAACAAAGAAGAAGAAGGGGAAGGCCTTCAGTTGACTGGGAAGAAAATGTACGGCACATAATGAGAGATAGAGCCATCAGAGAAGACGAATGGATGGACAGAAAACGATGGCGGTCGAAATGCGAGAAACGGCAGAGGCTCTAGGAACCTCGCTTATATATATATATATATATATATATATATATATATATATATATATATATATATATTATATATATATATATATATATATATATATATATATATAATATATATATATATATAAACGTTTTTGGCTTATTTCAGATGCCCCTGAAGATGATCTAGGGATCGAAAGTACTTGGGCAAGATTAAATTAATACTGTGCTCGATATTTGCCTTTTATATTATCAAAGTTCATTTATTCGAGCATTCAACCTTATTTCAACAATAATAAATCAAGACGAAGAAAGCTGCACATGTAGCTCCTTAGACTCTGAATAATTTAAATGGTATGTTTTTATATTTTTAAAAACTTGGTTATGTATATCTTAGTTAATAAATGTTTTATTGTAGCACATTTTTCTTCAATGGAACATTAAACTTTACTCAAGTTATACTTGAAGAAATTCGTGGTTTCAAGTTTAAAATATTTTTAAAAATTATAATATGATACATCTCAGTTTGACCTTGTTTGGTTTTCACGTGCAATTGTTGACAGTTGGGAATATGTAATATGAATGAACAGTAGAGATTATTATAGGTCACCTATATTTAAATACTTTGCATAAGCCTGCCAGGTTCTGGACTTGACTTCTTTATGCACAGTGCAGTTTGTAAAAGATTGTTTTGATGTAATGGTCTTATTACACATATATTTCAGTGTTTTGTTAGCGATTTTTGGTTGGTTTTTAAAAAGTTAAAAATTATGTCATCTGATAATGAAAGTGTTAGTGAACATTATCCCTTTGAAAGCAAGCACGCAGATAGCGACGAAGATTATATGCTGCAAAATAAACAAGCTAATTTTAAAATGCAACTTGCAAAATGGATTATCTCAGATGGTGATGATTCTTCTGATTCTTAAGGTTCTAGTCTTAACAAAGCATCCGATAATGTTAATAAAAAACAGTTGGATGCAGAAAAAATACTACATATTACAAAACCACAAACTTTTTATACGGAAATCAAAAATAAGTCAGCTTTGGCTAAAAATGACCTCAGCGTAGGTCGCTGAGATGACATTCTGATATCCAATTTTCAACAAAATATGCCACTTCCTATATCTACAGTGGGGAAGTATTTTACTAAATCCAATGAATAAAAAGTGATTTTAGGCTAACACTGACTCAGTATCTAAAATCCGGTGACCCGACTGGACATCGGAGTTGGGACAATGCAATCCATGAAGATGTCAAGATTATGGCTGTAGAATAAAATTTCAAACTCACTAAACGTCGAAAGTCATAAACGAGTTAACACAAAACAAAATATGTAAAACCACAATATTCAATTCTGCCAAAATAGTTATTACATCTGATCACCGAACAACAACAATGTTGTTCGGTGATCTGATAGCCACACTACACTAAAGACTCTGAAGTATAGGACTTGTGATTTCGTAACTGATGAAGCAACCGATGAAGCACAATAAAGTAACTTTGCTAGAATATAAAGAAATTTCTGCAAATTATGCAACTTACAATATGCAGATAACACTGTGATCTTGTCGAAAACTTGAGTATGAATAGTGCTGAAATGGGAATTACTATAAACGCTAAAAAACGAAGTAAATGCTAATTACAAAAAGACCACAAAATATACATCACCTATTGACAATTAATGGTAACGTGACAGAACAAGTAGAAAAATATCAGTACTTGGGAACTTTGATCAATGAAACCAATGATCATACTGTAGAAATAAACAGGCGAATAGAGATTGCCAGATCAGCATTTATACAAATTAAATCACTCCTAATGCTCCACATAATAATATTATTATGTGGAGCTGAGACTTGGAAATTAAAAAAATGCTATTTAAAAAGAATCAAGGCTTTCGAACTCTAGTTATACCACAGAGTATTAACAATATCATAGACTGATATAATTACAAATAAAGAAGTACTGGAGAGGGTTGGTAAAGAAACTAATCACCACTATACAAACCAGAAAACTGGAATACCTAGGCCACGTGATGAGGAGATCAAAATATGAAATTTTGAGACTCATAATACAGGGAAAGATTCAAGGAAGATCTGTTGGCCAAAGGCAGAACTCATGGTTAAAGAATCTACTTCATTGGTATCAATGCAGATCAATTGATTTGTTTAGAGCAGCAAGTTCTAAAATAAAAATAGCCATTATGAATGCCAACCTCCGTAGGGAGACGGCACTCTAAGAAGAAGAAGTACATATTTTGAAAATAAATACCCATTTTAAAATTAACAAAATTTATTTACTTTTTATAAATGTTTCAATCTTATCAGCTACAGCATGATACAATTTACTAATATCACCAGTATTTTGTGTTATTGCTATAGGAGTCCCCTCATCAGTGCTTGTAGATATTCCAGGATCCAATGGAAAACTGGCCAAGACATTACATTTGAGATCATTTGCAAGTTTTGAAGTTCCTTCTCCAAAAATATTGATATGATTTGAGCAGGAAGTACATTTCACATACTTCATATTTTCTACTATTCCTATTATGGGCACATTTAATTTTCTAAACAAACCAGCTCCTCTTTTGGTCACTTCTAGAGCTGCTGATTGAGGGGTTGTTACCAAAACTACACCTAAAAGGTAGAATATTACAAACACTCAAAAATTATCAATCAAAACATCACATGTGTTTTACCTGAGATAGGTAGATTCTGAACAAGGCTCAACAATGTATCTCCTGTTCCTGGGGGTGTATCCACTACCAAATAATCTAATTCTCCCCAATACACTTGTCTTATTAGTTTTTCCAGTGCCTGCATCACCATTAAACCTCTCCAAATAACTGGAGCATCTTTTTCTACAAGAAAACCCATTGACATACTAAAAAAAATTATTATAGTTCCTAAGCATAGATATTACCATTTTACTCCATAATTTATTAAAGGTTCCATCAAATTATCTTTTGTTAAAAGGGGCTGGTCATCTAGGTTCATCATTAGGGGCACTGATGGGCCAAATACATCTGCATCTAGAAGACCAATTCCTTTATTTGGATTTAAATGCTTTAGTGCTGCAGCTAAATTTACTAAAACCAATAAAAAGCTATATAAATTTTGGTAAATTTTTGATTTGATGTAAAACCAACACATACCTGAAGTAGTGCTTTTTCCTACTCCTCCCTTCCCAGATGATATGAGAATGATATTCTTAACTCCCGGAATAGGTTTCTGTTTTGGTAAGCCCCTGGACATAATCTGTTCCCTTTTCTGCTTTAGATCTACATTTTTCTCTGATGATAGTAATGCAATTTGCTAAAAAAGCCTAAGTTATAATAAAAATAAATGTACAATACAACCAATTACCTGTAATTGTATTACGGGCTTATGATAGAATAGTTTTTGAAATCCAATTTTTAATATCATGATTTCGATTTAAAAGAAAGTGAGGTTAGGTCTTACATATTTTGAAAGAATAAAATGTATGTTTGGTCGCCTAAGTCCAGGCAAGTCCTTTGTATAATTATTTTTTACAAAAACAATTATATCTTTTCATAAATTGGTATTAAGAATTTATGTTACGTAAGAAGGTATTGTTGGACAGTTCTTTTTGATATTTTTGACCAATTCTTTCTTATCGTTGTTTTTGTTCAGTTTGTAAATTTTTGAAACCTTCGCTAGATTTTCTCAAAATAACAAGTGGTAGCTCTTAAAAAAGAAGACATTTTCAACTGTCAAACTAGCAATTTTTAGGTTTTGTTCTGTTGTAAATTGTGTTGATTTTAATAAATTTTAGGAAAAGTAATAAAATATGATTGAAATAACGTGTAATGATCGTTTAGGTAAAAAAGTCCGAGTCAAATGTAATCCGGACGACACAGTTGGAGATCTGAAAAAACTTATTGCTGCTCAAACTGGAACAAGATGGGATAAAATAGTTTTGAAGAAATGGTACACTACATTTAAAGACCACATTCAACTACAAGACTGTATCCTTTTAATAAATAGTTTTAATAGTATATATGTATATGTTTTAATAGTTTATATAGTATATAGTTGTGTTTTAATAGTTTATATAGTATATTAGAGTTAAGTAAATAGGTTATTGAATAGAATAGAAAAACATTAAACAGTTTCTGTTATGGAGGTCGGTTCAACCGTTAGGAATAATAATAGTGAATAAAAATTGGCATGGATGGCAAAAATTGAGAAAAGTGGTACAAACTACCATGAACACAAGTCGTGAACAAACTTGAAGCATTGGAAATGTGGGTTCATAGACGAATGCTGAAGATACCTTGGACAGCAAGAAAAACGAATGAAGAAGTACTAAGGAGCGTCAACAAAGACAGAGAACTGCTAAAGACTGTTAAACATCGAAAAATGTCTTATCTGGGACATATAGTAAGGGGAAGTCGATATAAAATTTTACAACTGTTCCTTAAAGGCAAAATAGAGGGCCGTAGAGGTGTTGGAAGAAAACAAGTTTCTTTGTTAAAAAACATTCGTGAATGGACTTGCAATGGACTGAATGGTACCAAATGCAGGACAATTATTCCATATTGCAGAAGATCGAGAAGCCGTCACAATCGCCAATGTCAGATAGTTCTGATATGGCACACGAAGAAGAAAAAGGTATTCATGAATAAAGTAAATCCACAAGATAAAGTTGAATGGAAAATCAGAGCAAGTTGGTTAGAAGATGTACCTATAAATAAGAGAAGAATCTAATGAAAAATGAAAATCTGTGGGAGGACATGCCAAACTACACTCAAAAGGGTTTTAATATTCTTTTGATTAAAATAGAAGATATTTATCCTAAAATTTAATTAATAAATTCACTTCAGAAAATTGTTGAATGTCTTTATGTTATTTTCCTTAATATAATTCTAGATGAAATCCATGATGGAATGAACATTGAACTCTACTATCAATAGTTAAATATGAATACATTTAAGTTAGTTAATAATTTATAATTATTTTTTATGATTTTTGAATAAATGTACATATTATATACTTAATTTTATTTCAAATACACAGGTGTAACAAAAAGGTAGGTCATAAATTAAATCACTCCCTAATCCATTAGTTGAAGTAAGCTAGTTACATTATGTGGTAAAAATTCAACTGCCACATGTGGGTCAAAACTAGTTGAGGTTGCAGGAGGATGACTTGGTGCGTTTTTGATGATTAGCATCACTTTCTCAAAAAGAGAATCTGTCACTCAAGCTTTACAATTATACTTCCAAATCACAGGCAATCCAGATTTAGTTCATCTACATTGAATATAGTTTGGTTGGTGTAGCCACATACATTTATAGTAACTTTTAATTTCTGTGCACAACTAAGCCAATTACAGTAACTTTTGAATCAGCTGAACCCACCATTACGAGCTTTAAACCCTTCATCTTAGCAATCTCCCCAGGATCCTCTTTCAATAATTCAAAAATCAGTTAAGCTTGGGAGCACACTGTGTTCTAATCAATAGGACAATTTTTCACATTTTCCTGATTATTACACCATAATTTTAACATTGTTTCCATCTTGGCGATAATAGAGTGACATTTAAGAACAATGGTTGAATTAAAAGATTGTGCTTTCACAGCTCCGAGAATTTTTTCTTTGTCCTTTATTATTGTTCTGACAGTCGATTCTGACAAATCAAAGTTGTTTTAAATAAAAATCTTTAATTATGTTAAATTTAAATTGACGAAATTCGAAAATAGCTTAAGTCGAGAGAGAGAGAGAGAGATAAATTTATTGTTTTTAAAATGAGTTTATATTTATAAAACACAACATGGTATAGTACAAACAATGCAGAAGATATATTAAAATACTAATAATTATAAAATCTCCATAATTAAAAAAAAATATATATCAATTCTCGAGGTATTACTGTGTATTTTAAAACTGTCAGATATTTTATATTGAAAATGGGCATGTGGCTTTGTTATGGTAGGAAAACCTTTTAAAAAAACTAACAATGAAATTTGTGCACCCACAATAATTTTATGGGGGTTTTGTTTCCTAAACCCCCCTCTCCATATAAACGCAATGTTTTCAAATTTTTTTGCCTCTTGTGCTTTTGTAATAAACCAGTTTTTTTTAGATGTGGCTTATTTTTTAATATTTTTCAAAATTTATGAGTAAGTACCTAACAAAATATAAATTTTAAATACATCATTCATTTATTAACCATTTACAAATAATATGCGCTGAATTTTACAAATGTTCAAAATGACCTCCATTTACTTGAATACACATTCGGCACCATTTTAAAGAGGAAAATCGAATGTTTTGCAAAATCATAGGCTTCTGACGAAATCGATTTGTAACTTCCATGATCATAGTTCTTAGTTGTTGTTTCGTTCATAATTGCTATGGAATATATGTCCATCAGATCCCCTTTTAATTCAACATATAGGATACTGACCGAAAAGATATTCTCTGTAAAAACCACATATTTTTCCTAACTGCGAAATTTAAGTGGTCTAAATACTCTACTCTGTTACAAGTATTGTAAAAAGTGCAAGCAATTTTCACCATTTAAATTGGTTTTAAGAAATTCTGGTCCTATTAGGTTATTATCACCAATTCCTGCCCAAACATTGACTTTAAACATTCTTTGGTGACGAAAGACTTTTTTGCGTGGGGTTTTTCTTCGGCCCAGATGTGCGTGTTATGATGGTTCGTAATGTCATTTCTGTGATTTTTTCTATGAGTGTTTTCCGTTAAAAAGTAATTGCAAAATCCCATTCTTTTAGATAATCTTCATCCAGTACTTCTTGAACGGGTGTTAAGTAATAAGGATGAAACAGCTGTTCCTTGAATGTTCTCCAAACCATCATGTGATAAACATCTGATTGAGCACTACTCTTGTACTGCTTCCAGGGATTTCTTCAATTGATTCTAAAACCCCCTCATCGTTTATATCTACTTTTGGTCGACCATTATTACCAACAAATTGAGGTCGAAATGTGACTGTCTCTCGTAAACGACGATCAATGGATAGAAATAATCGTCTGCCTGGTGTATTTCAATTAGGATATTTTTTCGCAGAACTATTCCTTTGGTATTCACCTGTAGTTACCAAATTACCAATAATTATCTAAAACTCTACACAATAATTGGAATATTTATTACTATTGTTGATGCTGCTGTTTAATATATAGTAACTCTAGCAACAACAAGTGTTTTACGGCCAAATATAGAATTTTTGAAACATAATAAAAAAAGAAGCCATATCTCGATAAAAACTGGTTTATCGAAAAAGTATTAACAGGCGAAAAGGTTTTAAAACCGTTGTGTTTAACTAATTGGTGCCAATATAATAATTTAATTGGTACGCAAAATTTTGATGGAGTGCACAAATTTCATTGATTTTTTTTAAGATGTTAATGCCATAAGAAAGCCACATCTCAATTTTCAATATGAAATCTCTTACAGTTTTCGATATATTAGAAAGAATCGATTTTCACCTAACTTCAAAGGGCTGTACACTTTCTGTCAGTCCGATTTTATGCATGTGTCCCTTGAGACGGCAGTGTCCTGCTTGTTAGAAGATCTACTACTCAGTAAGCATAAGTACGTACATAAGACAAAAGTATGTACTGATGGGACATCTTCTTCTTCACGTGCCATCTCCTTTAAGAAGGTTGGCAACCATCATGGCAATTCGCACTTTCGACATGCGACGCCGCTGCTCTAAAGAGGTCAGCAGAAGTGCAGTTAAACTGAGCTCTCAAATTATTCAACCAGGAGATGTGTCAGATATTGCAGTTTCCTGACTTTAACTGCATTTAAGACCTCTTTATCTTTACCTCTTTGATAGTACATATGTATGTACAATGTACGTACTTTATCTTTACTAGTTTTTTAAAAAATAAATTCAATTTTTAATTTTATTATTTTTCCTTGAAATTTTTTAAGCGATTCCCGGCTTTCCTTAACCATCGTCCAATTTCTTGCTCCACCGCCTTCTTATCACTACACACTCGACTGAATAAAATAACAGAAAACCACACTTAAGCACCTACACCAAAAATAAGTAAAAAAAATCTAAATGAAACTGTCTTGCAATGAGTTATCACATCAAAACTACTCGACGTGGAAAATTCCTAACCAAATAAATTAGGTTAGGTTAACATCATGTACGTACAGTACCAAAATTATACGTACTCAAAACGTACTGTGCTGTTTGAGTAGAATTCGAAGAACATTCCTATTCATATCTAGTAGATCTGTGGATCTCTTCTTCGAAGTTTCATGTACAAAAGTCTTCAAATATTTAAGGCTCATTTGTTCGTACCAGTGATTCGTTCGTTTTATCCTTTCCATCTCGACTACCAGTGGTAGTCATGCCATATTCGGATCCGGTCGTAGATAGTGCTTTTTAGCAATTCCAAAGTATTTTGTATCTAATTTACTTAAATAAGTTCGTCAACTCTTTCGTTGCCGTGTATTCTCGAATGACCTGGCACCCCTACCAGTGTGACTCTATTAGGGTCCGTAATTCTGCATTCTGTGCCATATTGTCAATAAAATAATAACTTGCCAAAGAAATAACATCAATTTTTATGTTTGGGTAGGTTTCAAAATGCAGGTCCAGTATAACCCTTTATATACCTATCAATATTTCAAGTCGAGTATTCACAATTGCTTTTCAAATAAAAACTCTATTCTCTGTAACAATTTTTGCTTATATCAAGCCATGGAAGCAATTTTAATGGTTTTTATGTATTATAATTTATAGGTTTTGTTAAAATATCAAAATATACCATCAGTTTTTATGAGCATAAAAATTTCATAAACTCTATTTTATATACGTATTATAACTTCTCATTAAATTATATTATTGTATGAATAAAATAGCAAGGGGATTAGAGTGTTTATTTATACATGTTTACGTTTAAAAATTTGATAGGATTCTAAATTATTTTATGATTAATTTCAATGTTAAATGAAAAAGTAACATAATATCATGAAAACGTATATTATTTCATGAGAAATTCTGGTATAGTATAGATATTTTGGTTCGTCTGTAAAAATATTATTCATCAATTCAAATACATAACAAAAACGGTGCCTGTCCGATGATTGAATGGCCTTGCATACGAAGTTGTGAGTAGTTTAGTGAGTATATACTTGGTTCAAGTCACATTGCAGCCAGATATGTTTCAAAGGAATCAGTATAAAATTCCAAATAATGAATGTCTAACTTTGAATTTGTAATCGAGAGTAAATTGAGTCGGTAAAAGGATCAGTATAAGTACAATGGAAAATAGAGTCTTATGGCTTCATAATATTGTTATAATAAATATGACTTATAACCTAAATTGTAAACATATTATTTCTAACAAGTATTTTTTTAGTAGGGTACGCTCCGCTAAAACCTGTCTGGGTTTCATGGTATTCGAGAAGGGCCAAGAAAGGTCACCGGCTGAATTCTGGGGATCTGCAGATAACGGTTATTTAATATATATATATATATATATATATATATATATATATATTATATATATATATATATATATATATATATATATTTATATATATATATATATATATATATATATATATATATATATATATATATAAATTATGATTTTTGAGTTAATTTAATTTATGTCCATTAATCAAACCATGACAATGACATATATAGTGGCAATATAGTTATTTTTAATAAAAAATTTTTTTTAATATATTTATAATGGTTTGTTTTGTAAAGTATAATAATAGTAACAACTGTAATCTCACGACTAGTAAGTAAGACAATTAACAATTTTAACTAGTTAATTTATATTTCTTTTTATAGATGTCTTGAAAAAGAATTAAATAAAATTCGAAAGCTTGACAGTAAGTCAAAGAGTTTTCTTTGTCTTGTGGGCCAAATAAACTGACTGCATCCTCAAAAATCATAATTTATATTTAAAATCAACAGTCAAGAATACCACCACCTTATATATATATATATATATATATATATATATATATATATATATATATATATTATAT